TCTGATCATCAAGGCTGTAGAGGCAATGCAACAGTATGACAGCATTCACAATATTGCATCGGGTCTGGTATCTGCTTTGGTTTTGACAGAACAAACAATTGAGTCTGTAAAACACGAGGTTTATGGACAACCTTTTGAAAAATGCTTAGAAATTAATGGTGACCACTACTGTGTCATAAAACCCAGCCATAAATAGATTTATCTATCTAAAGATCAGTGGAATTCCCAATCAATATATGTTGTGGAGACTTATAAAGTATACAGTGTTTTTTTTTTCCTACTGTCTCTTTCATCTTTGCAGTCTGATTGATCATATACTATGAAAAATGGCTTTATGTTCCTCATTTCTATTATTGGTATGACACAGTAGACTCAGTGGAAGCAGTATCGAATACATGCAGAATAGAGTTTAGAGAATTAAAAATAAAAAATCTGGTTATTGTCTGCAAGTCTTGTATTATATCTGCATCACCATAAAGATGCCCCAGCTAATCTGCAGAAATTCCTCCCTACTGTAAGAGCATACACATGGCTGCTTAGCCAGCATTGTGTGCAGACCAGTAATGCTGCAAGATTGAAGTAGATGTGTCTCTTTCTGCTATTACTTTAAATCACTCATCTGAGATACAGCCGTTGCTAAGCCTGATGCGCTGTAATAGAAGCCTTGAACTTATTTGCACTTGCCTTGAGGAAAGATTTCTCAATGAATCCCCGAGTCAGTAAGGTATTAAAATGCTGTTAAAACACAGTTACATCCAGGTGCTTTGCCCCATCATTTTCTTTTGCAAATTTCAGTCCGTGTAACCAAACTTTTAGCAGTTAGATTTTTCTAATGGACCAGTTGGAATGAGCACCTACTCATGGTTCCAGTCAGACTGGGAAGCACAGGGTATGTGGTTATAAGATGTAACAGCTGTGACAGAGTTTCTTGACTTGCTTACAGCTTCAGGATAGATGGATCCTGTAGTTGCTGGTGTCAGTCAATGGAAGATGTATATATACATGGCTTTGAGTTGTCTTTTAGGAGCTCATTGGGATGTCAAGTCAGACAGCTCTGCTTAAAGCAACAGTGATTAGTGTTGATAGCGATGTTGGGTAATCATCATTTTAGTTTTGTTCTTAAACAAGGAGTTTCATTTAGGGAAAAAAAAAAAAAGTCTAAGGCTGTTAGTTTTTGGTCTGTGCTACTCTGGTATCCTCTACCATCTGAAAAGAGGATTACTACTTTGGTTTAAAAAACCTGAACGCAAATTATGTAAAATGAAAGTCAGTGAAGTAAATGCATGGAAGCACCATAACGTGTGCTTCCACACTTTCCACTTACCACATTGTTTGCTTGTCACATGGGAAGACTTAAGACAACAAAGATAGGAGAGTGTCATGAATTCTTTGGTAATTATTCCTGTGTTGCTTGTGTGACTACTGTAGTCCTGTGCAGGAAGTACAAATTAATATCATACATTTAAGTGGAGAAGAGCATGTCTGCATCACTGTACTCTTTTCTATGTGTGGCCAGGCTCAGAAGATTTATGCAGAACACAGATATTGTATATGTTCTGGTTTGCAAATGGTATGGAATATCAGCTATGCCAGACTGGGACTTCTACCTTAAAGACTGTTACAGCTCAGAGGCTTCAGCTGAGACAAGGTGTGAGGGAGAAGAGGAGGGTATTCCTTAATGCACTACCACAGTAGTGATAGACAGCAGTAGCTGGAATAGAATTCCAGACCACGCAGTGGCCATAACTATCCAAAAGACAGACAATCTATGAAAACAAAACAAAACAAAAAAATAGGATTCAATGGGGAAAAAAAAAATCACAAAAGAAGCTTCAGGATTTTCAGAAATTTGTCTAAATATCAGCTCCTAAGTCTTTTTGTATGTATATAGGCGACTTGACTTGTTTTATCTTGCTTTTTGTCAGTTGAAGAGTGGTTAGGAGTATTTGAATACCACAGAGAGGTACATTCAGTACATTCATTGAAAACTTTCTAGCAGATCAAAATTTTATGATTTGGCATTTTCCTGAGAAATGAAAAACGTAGACAACGAATGTGAAGCATCCAAGCAGGAGGCTGTGTCTGGAGCAAAATCAGCAAATTCTGCTGCAGTGCCAGTCTGCTTTCCACCATCTTTCAGTTCTCATTCTCAACTTGAGGATTTCTAAAAATGTGGCTGCACAAGCAAGCAGGGAACTTGGAAGTTGGTCTTCCAGTTTCTTCTAGTTGGAATGTGAATATTCGCTTGAGGTTGGCCATGACGTTCTCAGCTCAGAAAAATCAGATTATTCCTACTTTTTGATGTTCCTCTTGGGAAAAAACTCTCTTTTAAACAGATGGTATGAATTTAATCCCTTTGCATTCCATTCTCAAGGATGCTGAAACTACTGCTTGTGAGAAATGCAAGATGCTCTCGAAATGACAAGCAAATACTTGATTTTAAGTTGAGCCTCAGTTTAGTCAGGTAGGGAAAAGGTGATGGGTTAGAAAGAAAAAGACACCAAAATACCTTGCTTGACTTTTTTTTTTTTAACTGAATGAATTCACATTTGATAAGAAGCAGGTGAGCTGTTGAGCCCAACACTTCAGGAAACAATCACCCTTAAATTTGGTCACCACATTCTTATGCTCTTCCAATTGTGTTGTGGAGCTGCATGAGCAAATGCAGGCTGTTCCTGTTCGTTTCCCCTGTGGAGTGGATCCCTGCAGGAGCTGACCTCTTCCTCTTCTAATTGTATTTTTCTGGTTGGTAGCAGGAGTTCTTAAAATACTTCCTCTCTTATATCAAAGCAGTGCTGGCTTTGCACAGAGCTGCACTCAGCATGGGGCTGATCCTGCTCAGGAAGGCAGCAGCAGTCTGTACTTACCGGTTACTGAGCTGCTGGTGGAGGCAGGAGGTGGCATTTGAGAACCTGTACATCACTGCTGGTGCAGAAGGACGGGTAGAGGGAGAAATCCAACCTTTCCTAATTGGAAGCTTCACCATGGCATTGTGTGCTTTCACATTTTTTACTCTGAATGGATATCCTGGGTGGATTTATTCAGTAAATGTACCTCATTTCTGATGCTGCCAAGAAAACAGATTAGGGATTGGTAAGGTCTGTAGGAACAAAAATGTGTTATTACATTGTTGTTTTGAGAAGCAGATGGGTTCCATGTATTTTTGGCAACTGCCAGAGGCTGGAAGAAACAGGATGTACACATCAATTGTGTAAACAGCAGCTTTTCATCTTGTATATGTCAGAGTCAACTTCTTTGATCAGGTACACTGGGTTCTGCTCCTTCCATGCCTGTAACACCTGCAACATAGTGAAAAAGATGAAACAAAGTTGAGTTTGTATTCCAGCCCCTTGAATTGGCCATAAGCAGCCCACAACCCACATCATTCTGTGTTTCTTGCTCTTGGTCTGACAAGGCAGAAACCTGAAAAACAATTTAGAGCTATACAACAACGCAGGTAAAATATATGACGATTTGCATGTCCACAGGAAAGGATTAAGGCTATATACATACCTCTAATGAACGTAAATGATAGCACCATTTTCAAGTTGAAGCACTTAATGGCAGTATCTGTGGTATGAATGGATGTCTCATTTTTTGAGATGTTTCTTGCTCATTCTCCATTATAGCAGTAACAGTAATGTTATGTAGAGGAAAAAAAACAATACAATCACACAATTGTAGGAGTTGGAAAGGACTGCTTGAGATCCCCCAACCCAAACTCTAAAGCAGTTCCCTAGAGCAGATAGCACAGGAAAGTGTCCCCAGGCAGATCAGGAATATCTCCAGAGAAGTAAGCCACAGTCTCTCTGGGCAGCCTGTTCCAGTGCTTTGTTACCCTCACAGGAAAGGAGTTCTTCCTTGTATTTGTGTAAGCACAAGTTTTATGAACAAAACAAAGAAAAAAACCGACATGGCTGTGATGCAGGTTTTTTCTCTGTATTTTGTTTACTACTATTGTATTTAATAGACATGACAATATATTAAGACCTTTTGTTTGTGTATCTATTTTTGGGTGTTTCCAGGATGAAAATTCATCAAATAAGCTGAGTTCAGTAGACTATGTCACGCCTACTCAATGCTTTTGAGTGTGAGATCTGTCCTGGCTTTAGTCAGGTTGCTTCCTCCTCCTCATATCCTCATCCTTCAGAGCATGGTTGGAGCAGAACAACCAACCCATGCTTTGTACCAGTTCCTCTACTAGTAACTGAAATATATTCCAAAAAAGAATATGCATGCTGTTTTTTCTATAGCATTGGCATTTGAAGTAGGTTCACTGCTATCTTTAACAATGACTGAGGAAGAAAAGCAGTGTTTTTCAGGCTTTCAGGTAGTGGTATGTTTCAAAATATATTGTACTTCAGGTTATTGCATTACTGCTTTGGATGCTGTTTGGGGAAATACGTGCAGTATGAATAGCCGCAATTTGTAGAAAATGAGTTTCCCTCAGCCTCCAAGTTCAAGTTTAATCTTCATTAGGCCCATCCAAAGCAGTGGGTTGTGCTGTGCTCACTGCTAGTAACAGCTGCTTCTTTGGAAAGTCGCAGCAGCACTCTGGTGTATCAAATGTCATTGCTATGAATGTGACGTGCTGCATCCCTGAAAATAAAAACACAGTCCTTGCTGCTTGCTCAAAGCACACTTAGCTGTCTCTGCATTTATTTTCTCTGTCACAGTATAGTGGCTGCTGCAACACTTCCAGTGCATATATCAAGTTACAGATTAGCGCGGGCCCCATGGCTCTTGGAACAGCGTGGGTTGTTTACTGATGATATTTATCCTCTCATTTCCTTTTGGAAGTGCAACGGTTTCTCGCTTTCTGATGGGGAGTATACTTACAGAACCTTCTCTACATGCCATGGCTGACAATAAACGCTCCAGTGTACAGTGTCTGCTTGCCATGGAGCTGCTGTTACTCCTTCCAGTGCTCAGATTGGCAGGAGCTGGCTTGACAGGAAAGCAGAAGGGTTATTCTAAAGTGCTGCAATCTTCTCTTGCAGGAGGAGACCGAGAGCGGATGACAGCTAATCATGAGACATATCTTCTTATGGCGAGCACGCAGAATGACATGGAGGATTGGGTGAAGTCCATCCGCAGGGTTATATGGGCACCGTTTGGAGGAGGTGAGTCAGTGAGTGAACATGCAAGGCTCTCGGCTGCACAAAGCATGTAGGAGGCATTTTGTTCTCTCTCAGTCACAGGCAGAGTTGGAAGAGAAGAACAGTATCTTTAAACAAAACAATAACAACAAAAAAAAGGTGGAACAAGCCCATTGGTTTAACTTACAGTGCATCTATCAGGCATTCTCCTTTGCGGAGGGCTCTATTGAAATGCCAGAGCTGCTGCTACTCCTGGAGGCGATGGCACTTTATCAGTGGATAAGGGATATTGTCACAGAAAATGGGCCTATGAAATTAGCTCTTCTCTGGGAGAACTAGGGCAGTTTCTTTGGTCACCAGGTAGAAGACCGCCCATGCTTTTCACAAGTGCTTGTTATGAGAATCTGTTGGTGATTCTGTTGCTAGAGACAGCTAAGGCCAATGACAATTGTCCAGGCCCGGGGACCCCTTCAGTAGAAAGGGTAAAACTGTTGGATTGGGTCCAGAGGAGAGTCATGAAGATGCTCAAAGGTCTGGAACACCTTTCCTGTGGAGAAAAGTTGAATCAGATGGGCTTGTTCAACCTGGAAAAGAGAATGCTGTGAGGAGACATCATTGCAGCCTTCCAGTACTTGTGGGAGCTTATAAGCAGGAGGAGGACAGACTTTTTACACAGTCTGATAGTGATAAGACCAGGGGAGACATCTTTAAACTAAAAGCGGATAAATTTAGCTTATTTGTCTGGGGGAATGTTTTACTCAAAAGGTCCTGGCACTGCTGTCTAGGGAAGTTGTGGATGCCCCATCCTGGAGATGCTCAAGACCAGGTTGGATGGGGCCCTGGGCAGCCTGAGCTGTGAGCAACCAGCCAACAGCAGGGGGTTGGGGTCAGGTGAGCTTCAGGATCCCTTTCAACCCAGCCATTCTAAGATTCTATTGCAGCCAAACAGCAGCATACACTACTGCTGTGATATAAACTTGTCAGTACCTAACAGAAGTGCATTTTTCATGGAGGGAAGCTAACTACATGCTGTATGTGGCTTCCACTTGCATAAAACTGCTCTGTGGCACACAGTGGGCCAAGGCAGCCCTGCAGCACTGAGTGGGGAGCTGAAATCTGGTGAATCTGCACACAGAGGCTGTGACAAAGCTACAAATAGAAACCAAATCTCCCGAGTCCTGACTCCATGCTTTCTTCATCAGCCCCTCATTTGCTTTTATAGGGCAAGAGCTATTTCTGGTTTGCAGCTGGGAATCTTTCCAGCCACCATGGAAACTCATAGGACACCCTTATTGTCATAGGAGCGTGTAATGCCAGTTACTCAGAGAAGTACCTGACTGAGGTATTTGCATGCTGATCTTCATAAAGAAATGGAAGATTGCAATCCTTAAATTACTGTTTAAGTTCACTTGCAGTTAACACATTTACCAAAATGTTCTTTGTTTTTCCCTATGGGATATCTTGAGCATATCTTTGATTTCAGAGTTAAGTGGACTGGGAAGTAAACAGTTAACTCCTGGAAAACATGAGAATAGATAGAAAATGATTTTGGGTTTAATGATTGTGGAGAATGTCTGGCTGTCGTTTCATGGAAAAAGCAGTGTCATGGGAGCTGTCACCGCTAGATCTGTGCAATAGGATGTCTCCCATTTCATTAATCATTGCTTATTTGATATTGTAACATTCCTCAAGTTATAACAAGCCTTATTAATTGTTCTGTAGTTATGTATGGGTGGACATGCTGATAGTTTGATTATTCCTTCCTACATGGTCATGTCTGCAACAGTCTGATCCTGTTACAGAAAGGTTCCTTTGGCTTCAGGTGTTTAGGAGCCTGTCCACCAACAAGTACATAAAATTATTTCAGACAGTAAATTAATCAAAAGAGTTCTCTAGCTGTTGCCTAAATTTCAGCACTAGTGGCAAAACACAGTAGTCTGCTGTCGTACAAGTCAAGTGCCACTTTCACAAGCAACACACTTGAATTTTCTGATTCTTTAACGTGCTGAAAGAAAATCATGTGTGTGTTCCATGGATATTTGTGAGCCATGCTGAATCCCCAGTACCTAAAGCAGTAGGAAAGGACTCCTGGTACCGGAGCAAGGATTGCTGTAGATGATTAACCATATCATTACAATGTTATTTGTTAACCTGTGCTAGAAGGGAGGAATGAGTGGAGGGAGGTGGGAAACCTACTAAGGTGTTCAGAAACAGCCTGTCGGTTTTTTTTGTTTGTTGGTTGTTTTTTTTTTTTTTTTTTGCTTTTTTTTATTGAAGAGCACTGGGGAACTGTGGAAAAAATTCTGACGGGGAAAAGCAATGTAAATGAGGCAGGGCATGCAGTGCCTGTTTGCACTCGAAATTCCTCTCCTGATTAGACATAGAAAGGCAATTTTTGCAGAAGGGAAAGGCCGGAGCGTGAGCTGCAGAGCCTGCAGCCACGGGGGAGGGAGGAGGCAAGGAGCTCAGCGCTCGGGTCTGGCAGCTCCTGCGGAGCCAGGGCGCAGGCTGCTGCCTCGAGTCAGCCCAAAGTCATCCGGCAGAGCAGGGAGCTGCGCTGCAGCACAGCCCTCCTCCCTGCACCTGCTGCACGCAGCGGCACAGGCTACCATTGCTCGGCGTGGGAGCAGGAGGCAGAGTGGAGCATCCCCGCGTGTAGGCACGTCTTCCTCACAGCAGCACGGGGTCTTGCTGGCAAGGATGTACTCATGCTGCATCTGACGTCCTTCTCCCACGAGAGCTCCTGGTGGTTCGAAGGCGAGCGAGTAAGAAGCCCACGCCGGCGTCAGGGATATAAAAGGTGCTTGGAGAGGAATCCGTGATGGACAGAGAGCCTTTAAGGCGAAGGGGCCGCTATTTCTGCTCCTCAGCTGCAGGGCTTATAGGAGCCAGCGAGGAGCATCACGTCCCAGAAGACCCTTCAGTTGCCTTTCGGGTTTTATTCTCCCCTTTCTCCTTGCACACTGCAGAGCACTGACCTTGTCCTGTGAATTTGGAGTCTCTGCCTCCTGTTCTGGCCAGGAGGAAGGAGACTCTGCATCTCTCTCTCTGTGCTGGCACTTCAGCCTGAATGGAAGATAGATCTTTCTGCTGAAACTCTTTTGTTGTGACATTGTATAAGAGACGGTTGTCTCACCGCAGGAAATAAATGAAAGGAAACAGAGAGACGGAAGGAAATTGTTCCCCCAAGCCAAATTGAAGCGGGGAAGAGAACATTAAAATTACTTCAAGCTCTCTCTGGTAGTGAGAAGACTGTTCATCTCCTGCTCCAGAGGAAAATATACTGCTTCAAAACTCCTCAGCAGTCAGTGAGGATGAGCAGTCGTGTTGTTTCTGGATGCAGCTGCTAAAGAAGATCTCTGCAGGGCCCTGGGGCTCCGGCCTGTATGATGCCTGAAGACAGAAATGCTGGAGTCCGCAGCCCTGGTGCCTTAGCAGCACCTCCTTTCCTCCCCAAAACTACTTACAGGAAAATTAAGCGGTGCTTTAGTTTCCGTAAAGGTAGGTCTACTCTGTCCCTGTGTTCTTATTGCAGGCAATGCCAAAAGTCGGGGGCTGTGTGTGCAGGCAGATGAGAACACTCAAACAAAAGGCATGAAACAGTGCAGATGCTGACATTTCATGAATGATTTATTTTCCTCTTTGTTCGTTTGTTTGTAGTTGGCCAGCTAATGCTGTGTGCTCTACAGAATAACCCATGGATGGGCCGCCTCAGCGAGGTGGCTGGAAACAAGGTTATTGCAGAGCATGTGAGCAAAAAACAGGGAGAGGAGCTGAGTGTTGCTGAGTGCTACCTCTTTGGCTTGCAAAATTCCAAGAAAAAGAGCGTAGGTTTGTATTTTTGCCTGTGTGGGAGGAGTGGCGAGGAAAGAGGGAGTAAAGGAGCAGGATAAATATGCACATATGTACAGAACACCAAGTCCTTGGATTTGGAGATTTCTGATGGACTAAAGCGGATCCCTACAGTGCACTGTCCTGCTGCAGCTGCTGCACTGCCAATTTACTGTGCTCTCCTGCAGTCTGCACTTGCCTTCCCACCTGCTGCAAAGAGGTTTATAAGGCCATTTTCTGCATTGCACATACGCTTGTAGAAGCAGAGTATGGAGGAAGGCAGAGAGGAGGCTGTCTTTCAAAATATGTCAGCTGGAAGGGAAACACACTTTTAGAGAGAGAGATACAAGTGATGATAAGGTGCTACGGTGCTGAGGCTGGAAGGGAGGGAACAGAAATTGTGCATGGCACTGAAAGCTGTCTGCCCCCATAACCCTCCTCTCTGAGGCCAGAGCTTCCCGTGATTGCTGGAGTTGAGCCCCCCTGGAGGCTGTCCAAGAGGACATGGATATGTCTGTACAAAGTGTGCAGGTGTGTTTCAAGGTGTCAGTGTCAATTAGAGCTGTGTGCTGTTTGTACGCTTGACTATTTGAGAAATGTTTGGAAGTTTAATAAAGGATGGACAGATGATTTTGCAGACAGCTGCTTTTTCACCTGGGGTGCAGTTTTAGCCACTCCAAGCAGAGCTTCAACTGTTTATTATTTCCCCATCTGCTTTGACACACAAACTCTTCTTGTCTAAAATCCTGAGTGAAGCTGCAGTGTTTTGGGCAGAGGACTGGATGAGGGAGGTCACACTGCTAATTTGCTTTCCTCTAAACATCATTTATTTCAATTGCTTTCCTATGTATATGCACTGTCAAGAGCATCGTCACGTGGCCTCAAGATCAGAGAGTTGCAGAATGCTGGTGTGCATTTTTAACAAGGTCTGTGTCCTACTGGATACAATAGAAAGATGGATGTTAACTGGACTTTACAGTGTTTTAACAGGTAAATTAAACAAACGACACCACTCTTAGAATTGGCTTCAGGAATTCTTCTAACTTCATTTGCAGATTGTACACTTCAGTGAAAATGAAGGCAGAACCAGCCTTCTGCAAACCAGTATAAAACAGATTGATTGGTTCTAAGCTGTGCAACACAGCACAGAAAGTAAAATGAACAGGAAGAGCCATTGGCTGGTCACTGGGAGA